CGGATCCGAGCCGTGCCCGTCCGTGCCGGATCGCCGCCGTCCATCGCCCTCAGCACCAGCTCGTGAAACGCCGCCTCCTCCCGGTCCAGCGCCTTCGCCAGCACCAGCTCGGGACGCTGATCGCCGCCGGGGCCCGCCTGCACGGCCAGCGAGAAGTGCTCGTCGCCGCTCAGCTCGTAGCTCTGCAGGGAATTCCGGCCCGCATCCGGGTCGTGAGCCTCGACCAGGGGAAACCGAGACCCTGGGGATGTCGCCTCGCTAATTCTTTCTTCCAGCTCTATTTCCTTGAAGCTCGGCGCATTGTCGTTAATGTCCATGATTTCCACTTCGATTCCGTAAACCTGCATCTGCCCCTCCACTATCAGCTCACAGCGCAACACGCATTTGTCGACCAGCCGGCACAGCTGCTCTCTGTCGATCCTCTCCGCCGTCACTAAATGTCCCGTCTTCCCGTGCAAAGCAAAATAATGCGTCCTACCTTCGGACACGACACGAACACCACGATCGCTGATCTCCAGCAGCTGCAGCCCCAGGTCCTTGGCCACGTCGCCCACGAACGAGCCCTTGGGCATCTCCTCGGGCACGGAGTAGCGCAGCTGCCCCCACGCCGCCTCCCACGCTGCCAGCAGCACGGCCCAGAGCAGAGCTCGCTGCCGCCGGCCCCAGCGCCTCCCCGCCCCGCACATCTCCAGAGAGGCTCCCCAGCACAGCCGTTCCACTCGCCGCTCCCGGGTGCTGTCGCCGGCCTTTCTGCCTCTCTGCAGAACGGCTCCGCACCGCGGGGACGCTCGCAGACCGCCCGCCGCCGAGACTGATAGCGATCGAGCGAGCGATCGAGCGAGCGATCGAGCGGATCCGCAGCGGGCGGGGCTGCGGCGCTCCGAGCTCCTCTCGCTCCTCTCGGTCAGCAGCGGCGCCCGCAGCCTCCTCCCGGCACTGCAGGCACCGAGCGCCGCCGAGCGCTGCCCACGGACATCTCGCGTGGGCGGGACATAACCGCAAAGAAAACGTCGCTTTTCGTCCAGCGCGGACCTCCTGCTTCGGCTTTTATCCAGCTGATCTCTGTTTCCATCCTCTACCCATGACGACGTGACAGAAGTAACACGCCTCCTGTGATTATGCTATTTCTCCCGCCCGGGAAATTTCTCTGTCATGATCGTATAACATAGATGAAACTGTCTGTGAGTATGACGTTTGGGGTATCATGAGATTTACTACATACGTCCAAATGCACAAACTCCTCCACCAATTCAAGTTTTTATATGAGTCGTGCTTGACGAACAGTCTTTCAGCAGATCAAATAGTGTTAAAGAATAGGCAAACTTCTCATGAACAGTCACAATGTACACAAGGTTCACAATGTTCATGGAATGCAGCACTGCAGGGGAGGTCATTGCTATTTTGCACCGGCACATAAGACTCTATTCTGATGCAGTCTGTATTACTGCCCGTTCTCCCATCACAACTTTTTACTACAGTTTTACTCAATATATGCATGACAATGCTCACTCAGACCTAATACTCACTTAATACACAGAGCTTTTCTGAAATGCTAAATTAACGCGACTCATTAGAGCAAGCATTACTATGGTAGCCTTCCCTCAAAAGAAGG